TCCTGTACTCCGGGGCACTCATTCCCGGTAGCCACGTTGTCGCACCAGAGCCGTCTGTTGCCCGTGTGTCTGCAGCTTCAGTCGTCGCCTCCTATCTACTCTCCTCTCGCCAGCCCTCCTCCTCCTCACTTGCCCCCTGTGACTGCCTCTAGCTTTGCTCATAATTGTGAACCTTAAACTATTGCTTCTTGCTTGTGCTCAGAATGTGTGGTGACATCGTGATCCACCCTGAGCTTGTACTGCTTTGTTTCCTCTGCTGATTACACCCCACTTTGGCTATGGGGGTGTGTCATAATATTATGCTCTAGCCTGTAGTGGGGTGCTCTGTAGCGAGTACAACCCTTCTAGGGTTTGCTATTTGTATCCCCATTCTTGCTAGTTCATTCCTCTTTTGCCTAATTCTCTCGACAAGGCCTAGAAGAGTGCAGAAGCGCTGATGGTCACGAGACTGAAGCGCCTTGGTGAACACATCAGCAAGGTTGGCCTCAGTGGCCACGTAACGCAGACGAAGCTGGCCGCGCTGCTGCAGCTCTCGAGCAAGGAAGTACCGCAGGGCGATGTGCTTCGTTCTGTGCTCCAGTCTGTGCTCCTCACACAAGGCAATGGCAGCCTTGTTGTCGACGTACAGCACTGGAGGAGAACGAGGCCGCTCTCCCAAGTCGGTCAGCAGGTATGTCAGCCAGCGGAGCTCCTGGGCCGCCATGGCTGTGGCGTAGATCTCAGCCTCACAACTGGAGCTGAGAACAGAAGAAGAGCGTGTAGAACGCCAAGAAACTGAGCCAGAGCCAAGGCTGAAGGTGTAACCCTCAGAAGAACTGAGCAGGAATGGTTGAACTAACAGAGAAATCAGTACAAATAGCAAACCCTAGAATTGTGTACCCCATATAGGCTTTCCCACTGTAGCCTAACAAACACAACATATATAATGTTCGACAAAATGCTCCATTTTTTTCCAATCGCCTGCTCTCTTAACCTCATCATTGATGCAAGTGGTATCCCTATTCGCCACCTTGACGAAGGTGAACGTATCCGAGGCGTTTTTTTTTTTTTTTTCTTTTCTTTTCTTTTCTTTTTTCAGCCTTCGCCAGACAACGTTACATGGGACCATTTTCTCTCTCGCATCCGTTCGACTGCCACCTTCCTCTCCAAGCTCAAAGTAACCGCACCTTGCAAAAAATTACTCTCCACGGAAAGACTAAATTCATCATTCTCTGTTAATGCTCAATTTGAACCTTCGTTGCTGGGGGTTACCCAACAGTTGTTGGGGGTTACCAACAGTTTGAATGTCATTGGAAACCTTCTCTCGTCGTCACAATTTAAGGAGGTCAGGTTAGTCTACCGTCTTATTCCTAATCGCCTCATTTATAACAAAAAGAAGGATGGTGGTCTCGATGCCATTGAACCTACAGTCCATATCTAGGCTCTCAATATCCAACGCGCCCTTTGACGCTTCTTGACCACTCCGTATCATTATGTCGTTCAGACTTGCACCCTTCTCCCATATGGCATTTACTGTTATCTTCTTCACCCAGATGTAGTTAACACACTCAAACCAATTATCCCCTCTCCCCTCCCCCCCCCGCTCTAGAGCCTTCGCTGAAGTCTTCAGCCTCTTGTCCTCCCCGGTATATATCCTTCCTCCTCGGTTGGAACCTTAGGTCTTCTTGGGAAAGCCTCTCGCCTTCAATAGATTTATCTGCGAACCCAACGGCTCCCCTTTTGGTCGCAGGGGAAACGAGAAGGTTTTGCTTGTCAAACAACTTCGCATTAGCCATTTACTAGTACCTCTACCCGATGTCTCTCGTCGCCTTACTCCAAACGAGATCAAAGCTTTCCTAAAAGCTTTCCTAGTGGGCGTCGGATCTTCGCAGCCCTCTACTCAGCCAATCCTGAGGGTTGGTGGATTATTATCTAATCCTTTTGCCCTGACTCTGACCTCCTATAGCATGGGGATTGGGTTGTCCTGGCCTCACTACCTCCTGGTGTGGCTCCTCGAATCTTTTGCATTATCTCTCGCCCCTCTCTCCGATTGGCGTGCTTCCACTCCTTTCACGTCCAAGACGGTCGCCGTGTAGATGTGCTTTCCAAGGCCCAAGTCCTGCTGCCGATTTCTGTCGTCATCCTGGTTACTTTTTGCTCCGGAGGAGGTCTCAGCACATACTTCTCCATCATCCAACATGGCCAACGTCCCTTGCTGAAAACCCCAACCTGCTCTACACCTCCCGACCCACTATGCATCTTCAACGCTGGAAAGACTGACTTCGCCACACTCTACCATCTTTTCCATGCCTCCTCCACCCCTTCCTCAAAGAAAAGCCGAGTTGCCAACGAGACACTCTACTGGCTCTACGCTTCGCTCGCTCCCATCCGGATCCTGTTTCAGGTTCGCTTTGACCGGTGGTGTGTGCCCCCGTTGCCCAGCCGCTGCCACAGAACCTCTTTTACATATCTTTTTTTAGTGCGGAAACGTTGTCGTCATCTTCACAGCAGTCCAACGCGTTGTTGTGCAGCATCTTGGGCAACGGATCGAATTAGAACAAGCAATCTTTCCTCTTACGTTTCGAGCAGGGCAAGTAGCCCCTAGGAGCCTGCTTGTCGACGCCTCCGCCAAGGTTACCGTATATGGAATAAATGTTATGCTTATCTTAAAGCCCGCGTCCCAAATTGCGGGGCGCGAGAATCAAGTTTTTAAAACTTGACGAAGTTGAGTGTCCAAGCTTTTGAAAGTCACGCACCTGCAATTTGGGACTTCGGAAGACAGATTCACTCACCAGGGGGAAAATCGGGGGTTGGCTGTGTCTCACGAAAAAAACGAACCTAGACGAAATTTGAAACCTTCGCCAAAGCCCACACTAGAAAAACTCCCTCTTGTCAACTTTTAAAAGCATGAACAATTTGGGCCTCCGGCTTTAATGACTAGGAGTCTTCTTCTATTGTCGACGCTTTGCACACTGTACTCGCACTCTTCCTATCGGCTTGCAAGTTTTTCTTTTTCCGCCAACCTTCCCACTCCGCCAAACGTCAACGCCTCATCTGCTCGATAACCAAGTTAGCCACAACGAAACGATTCCTCTCGTTCAATGACTCTGGCTTTCCACGCATCCACGATTCACTCACTATGGAAGACTTGGCTGCTGAACGATTGCTTTTGTTCCCCATGATACCTAATTGTTCTCTTTCTGATGGCTGCGGCTGGACTTGCAGCGCTTCTTTGGCGCAAACTCTTAGTTTTGGCTTTTTTGCCTTTCCTGCTCCTTGCTATGTAGTGTTCTGGTTACGACCATACAACCTTCCGAGATGTAACAACTGCTAAGTTTTCGCGAATGATCGCCAGCCCTACATTTCGTGGCTTCCCTTCCTCCCCACCCTTGCGCCGACCACATCTGCCGTGGTGGCCACAACCGTACGGTAATCAACCGTATTGTATCGCGTTGAAGCCTAACCCCCAGCGAACCAATCCCCCAGCGCACGGGGGCACCACATAGCCACGTTCCTGTCACCTCCGACCGACCCGAGTCCCTCCCGAATCCCCTCCCCATGCTCCGTCAACCCACCGCAGAAGTTCACACCCTCCTCCCCCCCTCCCCGCGGCAGCATCCAATTTCTGGGCTGCCCCCAGCATCCTCCCTCACCAGGAATTTCTGTACAATTGATGCTCACCCCATGCACGCGAATTTGCCTTGCGCCGGATGGATACGCTGCACCCGAGGTTGTTTCCCCAGCCTTATGCACCTACATTACAAGCGCGTCAAGCAGAAGAGACCGAAGTCAAGCAGAAGAGACTGAAGTCAAACTAGGTAACTAGGTAGCAGAGTCTTGTTTATAAGCACATGCGAATTCTTTTTAGCTAGCTGCGAATTGACGAAACTTATGCGAACTGCTCGTGACAGCTTATACGCCCCCTTCATAAGGCAACCGGGAGGGGCTCAAACAGGCATCAATTGTACTGCACCTCTTCCTAGTCCTCCGCCTCTTTCGTTCGTCTCAGGCGCGGCGCCCTACTTTTCGGTTCTAGTCTCCTTCACAAGGCTTCGTACTAGCATTATCCAGGGTTCCCGTGTACTTCCCGAGACATGCGTCTTCCCAAATTGACTCCCGCACAATACTCTCAAATGCGGCACCCCTGCATGTCAATACCAACAGAACCTCACTCCGTTGCCCTGTCTCACCATAGCCTCACATTTTAGTCGAAGCCCTCTGTTTAGCGCTGACCATCCGCCCATCCTCGAATAATTTTTTATAGCCTCTCATCTTCTTTTCAAATTTACTTCAAGTCCCCATTCTAAATCACGCTTTCCGTTTCTTCTCATGGCGCAAAGATTTCCGTAACTGCTTTGGCGGAACCCCATGGCGTCAGCACGCCACGTGTACTAGTCAACGTCCCGCGTGTTTCGCTACGTGTACTACTCGACCTCCCGCGGTCTTTCTGTCGCATGCGCTCGCGTTACCGTCGCGGCCGAAGGCGATTAATCGCCAAATGTCAGGCCAGCCAACTGCCGCACCTTGCCGCTACTCTTACTGAAGCGACCATCCTAATCTCGACTTTGGAGTGGTTCTTTTGAGGCGCCTCGAAGCTCGTTCCGCTTTCGCGAGGGACATTTCATTAATTTCGTGAACATCTTCGTTTTGCGCGCCGACGCCTTGCGCTCGTAGGGGTAGATCAGTGGTAGTAGGCCGCACATTTCCGGGCGCTGCGGCCGACAGCGTTGGAGTGCCAGTCGACGCGGGAATCGGGCCTGTCAATTCGTCAACTCTCGTTAACGCTCGCCACCCACCTCGTCAGCCTGTCTCTAGTACACTCGTCGCCGTTCCGGCCTGTTCGCGTGTACGGCCGCGGTTTGTGCAAGCAGTTGTGGCTGCTGGTGGCTGTAGCGTCGTTGCCTGAGGCTCCTTCAATTCCTGCTCCCGCTTTAGGCTTGTCCGCCATTCGCTATAATTCATTTCTCCATTCGCCGTTCCGCATTCGCCGTGGTGGTGGGACGCGGTAGCGCGCGGGCGCCATGGGCAAGAGAGCGGTGAAGAAGTCGGTGACGGAGTACAAGTGCGACCGACTCAACCAGATCGTCAAAGGTGCGCGCGATACGGCGCATGTCCGACATTCCGTCTTATCTTCACTGCGTGATGAGTTAGTGAGTCAGTAAGTTACCGTTTTAAACATATCGCGCAAGGAGCGGCTCAATCGGGTGCGCGTCGCGTGTGCGACAATGTGTTGCGCTCCGCGCATGGCGTTTGGTGCTGCTGCTTCTGCCGCCGTGTGCACGCTGCTCGCATCCCTGCACGCTGCTCGCATCCCTGCACGTGACCTGGTAACCTCATGACTTACAGTGTCGCTTCTATGCGATTTTCCATCCCCCCCCCTCGTCTTCTCCCCTTTCTCTCCTCATTTCCTCTTCCCCCCCTCCCTCCCTTCCCCATCCCCCCTCCCCCTCCCCCCCAATTCCCCCCTTCTCTTCTTCCCCCCCGCGTCCCCTCCGCCCCCCCATCTCTCCCCCCCTCTCCGCCACTCCGCCCGTCCGCGCACGCGCGCCAGTGGGCGACACAGTGATGCTGCGCCCGCCCGCGGAGGACACTCCCCCGTACGTCGCGCGCGTGGAGTCCATCGAAGTCGAGCGCGCGGACACCAAGGTGCGCCTGCGCTGGTTCTACCGTCCGGAGGAGTCCCTGGGCGGGCGGCGCAACTTCCACGGGAGCAAGGAGCTGTTTCTCTCGGACCACTTCGACGTGTGCAGCATGGACGCCGTGGAGGGCGTGTGCCGCGTGCACTCGTTCAAGAGCTACGTGAAGCTCGCCGCCGTGGAGGCGGAGGATTACTTTTATCGCTTTGAGTACAAGGCCGCCACGGGGACTTTCAAGCCGGACCATGTCGCCGTGTGCGTGCAGTGGGGGGGGAGAGGGGAGGGGTGGGAGAGGGGAGGGGAGGGGTGGGGGAGGGGAGGGGAGGGGAAGAGATGGAAAGGGGGAGCGAGTGAGCGCGCGTGAGGGGATAGAAGCGTGGAGTTTAGGGTTGGGGAAGAGAAGCTGGAATGAGTGGGGGAGCCTTTTCGTCAGCCCGCTGTGTCTCTTGCCTCCCGCCCCCCCTTCCCCCGCCTTGCCCGTGTGCATGCTCGCATGCTCATGAACTGCCCTCTTTACTCATGCCCTCGTTTTCCCAACTATTTTTGTGCTCCTGTGCTCCTGTGCGTCTGTGCGCCTATGCACCTATGCCCGTGCACATGGGAGCAGGTACTGTGTGTGTGAGATGCCGTATAACCCCGACGACCTCATGGTGCAGTGCGACAGCTGCAGAGACTGGTCCGTGCCTGCTCCCATCCCATCCTCCTCTTCCCGCGCCCTACTTCTCTCTCGCTCCTCTTCTCTCTTTTGTCCTCGGCCTGGTGAGTTTTGAACCTACAGTCGTCCGTAATCCCTCCGCCCATTCTCATCCAGTCTCTTACTTCTCTTCGTTTTTCTCACTCCGTCCCGCATCCCTTGCCCGTCCTTCATGCCTGCTCTCCCGCCCTCTCCCTTCCCTCCCCTCGATTCCGATCTGCATGTCGAATCACCTTTTTCTCCTCCCTGTCTTCTGCCCTCCGTCCTCCGTCGCCCCCCATTTTTCTCGCTTTCTTCTTTTCTTTTCATCCCCACTTCCTCCTCCCCCTCCTCCCTTCCCCTCCTCCCTTCCCCTCCTCCCTTCCCCTCCTCCCTTCCCCTCCTCCCTTCCCCTCCTCCCTTCCCCTCCTCCCTTCCCCTCCTCCCTTCCCTCTCCACCACTCTAACCCATCCCGCCCCCCCTCCCCCAACCTTCTCACACTCCCCTCTTCTCTCTTTCCTCCGCTCTCACACCCCCGTCCCCTCTCACACTCCTCTCCTTCCCCTCTCTTTCGCGCACATATGCACGTGCGCCCACGGCGTGCAGGTTCCATCCGACGTGCATCCACCTGACGCCAGAGCAGGTGAAGAAGATGACGCAGTTCGTGTGTGACAAGTGCCTGGCCGAAGGCCAGATCCTCGCTGGCAAACCACAGCCTCTTCCCGCCACTGAGTCCAGTACTCTCACTGTAAGCACACTCGCTGTAAGCTCACTCGCTGTAAGCAGCACACTCGCTTTAAGCTCACTCGCTGTAAGCACACTCGCTTTAAGCACACTCGTTGTGATAAGGGCATTCACTGCAAGCGTGGTCACTGTAGTAAGCTCTTTTTCTCATCCCATCCTCCTCTGACTTCTCATTTCTCTCTTCCTTTTCCTGTTCCACTCCCTTCTTCCCTCCTCAGCCCCTCCCTTCCCCACTCCCCACCCCCCCCCCCACTGCCCCCGTGTGCCCTGCTCATTCCGCCCCCTGTCTCCCTCACTCATTTTTATATGGGGCCTTAGGTGCCTATGAGATGATATCTCCTCCCCCATATTCTGTTTCTTAGGGGCCTCACAAATACTCCCTGTCTTTCTCTCTCCCTCCCCCCCCCCTCCCCTCTCTCTCTCTCTCTCTCTCTCTCTCTCTCTCTCTCTCTCTCTCTCTCTCTCTCTCTCTCTCTCTCTCTCTCTCTATCTCTCGCGTGCGCGCGCACGTTTTCTTTCTCCCTTTCCCCTTCTCTCCGTCCCCCGCATGCAGGGAGAGCGGAATCCGAAGCGTTCAAAGCGGTGATCCTCCAGACTGCACCCAATTGCAAAGAGAGGAGGGGGGGGGGGGGGGAGGGGAGGGAGGGAGAGTGGGTAGTGGAGGGGAAGGGTGCTCAAGCAATGGGTGACCCTCTCGCACACACGCCGTGCTCTCTCCGTGTCATCTCTCTAAAGACTTCCGTGAAAGAGGGAGAGGGGGGATAAGGAAGTTAGGAGAAGGGGGAGAGGAGGGTGAAAGGGGAAGGGGAGGGGGAAGGGGAGGGGAGGGGGAAGGTGAAGGGGAGGATGAGGGGGAGGGGTTGATCTCGCTGCGTACCTGCGTTTGAGAAGCCTTTAGAGACGTTCCTGCGTACCCACTTCCATCCACCCTCCTCTTCTCCACCGCTTGCGCACTCACTCCCTCCTTCCCCACCCTACCATAGGACAGGCAAGGAAACACGGAATGCTCTATACCAACTCCTCTCTCCCTCTCCCTTGTCCTCCTCGCCCGCCAATCTCTCTCCCCTGTTTCCCTTGTGTAAATTCTTCCTGAATTGAGACAATTGATGCTGCGTCTCAGCCTACCCTTCCCTAATCCCCTGCCCAGTCCACCCATCTTTCTCCTTTTTCAGACCAATGCCCTGTCTCCCTCTCGCTCCACCTGTCTCTGTGCCCCTCGGCCCGGGGGCCACGATCTAAGCTCCTGGGACAAATGATGTGTATTGTTTTTTTGGGAGGGGGCACTGTTTTGTCAAGGGGAAGGGGAAGGGGAAGGCACTGAGCAGGAGCATTATGAGATTTAGGGAAACCCTAAATCCTTGCAACTGGGGCAGGTATTGGATTCTAACCGAAGTTGCATATTGGCAAGAGTGTAGGGGGGTCTGCTTAGTGTACTAGGTGGCATTGGCTGCTTGTGGCCCGTCAGAGGGCTTGATTTGGAAAGGACCCCGCTCATGTTCTTACCAAACTATGTTTTGATGGTGTAGATGCATTGATTGCAAATTGGGTAATTGCTGATTGGGTGTAGGTTTAGTGAGTTTGCCAATCATGTTGCAAGGTGCAACCACAATCAGCATTTAATCTGCTGCTGGTTAACTGATGGCGCACACACAACAGTTTTATGAACATACAGTAAGAAACAAACCTTCAGCATAACAGCAACTCGTTAAAAGATATCCTATATACAGAAATAGGGCATATTCATTGTTAGTATCTGCATACCACCTTGGGTCAGTAGTCACTCCACTACATTAACTGCCACCTACCGACTTCAGTTACCTTTCCCTGTCAATTAGCGATCATCTGATGCTTCCTCTTCCTCCAATTCAAAAGCATCTACTTCTGCAAAATAGGTCTGTTTCTCTGTCACAAAAACCTTGCGCTCTTGCTTTCCATGCTCGCTTTTCAACCGCCCTTTGCCAGGGGACGCACTCAACCCACTTGACTTCCTGTGCGGGCGCAAGCCCCACTCCGAATCACCCTTGTCACCCTCCTTGCTCTCCTCACTCTCCTCACTCTCACTCCCTTCACTCCCACTCTCCAAGGCACTACTTTGATCATCTCCCCCTCTTGTTTCTTCAACATTCTCCTCCCGCCTTCCATTTGACACAACTCCCTCTCTCTTCGCCATACTTGCGCCTGGAACTTCTCTCTCTTCCACCAAACTCCCTCTCACATGTAGCCCATCCGTACTCAGCAGCACCTCAACCACTGAGTTACTCTGACATTCAGCTGGCTCCTCCTCTCTTCTCCTTTGCAGCACCCTTCTGCTAGCCGCTGCCCTGCTTTCGCCTCCTCTTCTTCCCTTCCTCTCCGGTTCCGGTAAAGGTTCAGCCTTCTCTCTGCCTGACTCCCCCCGGCCTCTGCCTGACTCCCCCCTGCCTCTGCCTGTGTCCCCCCTGCCTCTGCCTGTGCCCCCCCTGCCTCTGCCTCTGTCCCCACTGCCTCTGCCTCTGTCCGCAGGTGAATGCTTCACTGTATCGCTCTGGACCTTCTGATTTGGCCCAATACCACCTCGACTTCTCAACTGGGGTTTCTGCGTTTCTTGAACCGGGTTCTGTTGTTGCTGCTGCTTCTGTTGTTGCTGCTGCTTCTGATTTTGCTGCTGCTGTTGCTGCTGCTGCTGCTGCTGCTGCTGCTGCTGCTGCTGCTGCTGCTGTTGCTTACTCGTCAAATGCAGTTTTGTCTGTCCTTTCACATCCTTCTGCTGCTGCAGGTGTATTTGTTGCTGTTGCTGCTTCTGCTGCACTTTTTCCTCCTTCCTCTGCTCCTCCACCTCCAGTCTCGCGGCAGCAGCTGCCTTCTCCTTGGCGGCCCTTCCACTGCGAGTCACGGGCTTTCTGTCTTCCAGCCACTTGGACCGCAGCTCCACCTGCACCGCCCAGTCCGCCCACACACTTCATTTAGACTGAAAGGAGATAATAAATACAAACACTAATTTAACAATCGATGGCGCAACAACAAAACTTCAATGGATAAATGAATAAGCACGTAGATAGATTAGAAAAAACAAAGCAAAACCAACACAAAACAAAACAAAACAACAAAAAAGACCAGGTTTCAACCCCGAGGAACTAGGGAGAACAGCGAGAGGTAGGTACATGCAACCTGCCTGGACCAATGGAGGATTGCAGCAGAGGAGAGAACACAGGGGGAACAAAAAAAAATGGTCGGATCAATCAACCCAACCCAATGCACCTGCTTGGGAGTCTCCTCCTCCTGAGGCGACGGCTTGCCAAAGAGTATCCTTCCAACGTCATCCCCGGTAACCGCTTTCGCTGCTTGCTTCGACCGATGAGGCCAGGTCCATGGGCCTTGACTGCCACGCACGCACACCACGCAGCAAAAGGACGTCGAGACACGTCAAACGCGTGCTCAAACCAGATGCGGGGATTGTTGAATTGACTAATGAGTGCGCTCAGAGCGGACGGGAGATGGGCGAATGGGGAGGGATGCGGGCTAATGGAAAGCAATACTTGCAGCGCAGTCATCTCTGACAGCCGGGAGCGCAAGCAGCAGCGTTCTGGCGAGACGCGAGAGAGAAACTTGAGAACAGACGAGATAAAGGATGGTTTGATTCCTTCTTTCTTTTCTTTCTTCCTTACTTCTATTTTAACGATAAAAATTGCAGGATAAGACGGATAAGGAGTCATCACTACAGAATTATCCCGTTCCAATACAGGACTGCCGCTTCAGCAGCCGCGCACGAAAGCGTCCCATTTCCTCTTACACGCAAGAACCTACGAAAAAGGTTTAGCGCGAACGGTCACCTTTCCGCCGCATTGGACGCGTCTTCGGAGTCCTGATCGGAGATGGCGCTGCCGCCTAACGAAGCCCGCTGGCGCTTCCGTCGGTACATTCTCTCGCCCACGGCTTGCCCGTCCATTGCGGGAGTCATGCGCGTCGCGGTGGCTAGGGTTAGTCTGTCCGTTTCGTACGCTGTGGTTCGGGATGGCTCGGCCTGGGGAGAGGAGGAATGGTGGGGAGGGAGAAGAGAGAGCGAAGCACTCTAAACCGGGTGAAGCTGCTGAAAAGAAAAGAAAAAAAAAGTTCCTTTTCTATAGGCGGCGGTAACTACGCGCCCTATAATTAGCACGGAAAACGGAATTGCTAGTGGCAATGCGCATAGCACCGTACGGTAAAATTCAAGCAGAAACACCCAGTCCTAGCAAGCGCGCCGCTACCTGAGACGTATCGGAAAGGCGCGACGCGATGGCGCCGTTAAGGGAAGACGACGCTAAGAAAGGGACTGATGAGGAAGACGCCATGCGACGCGCAGCATCCTCCGATTATCGCGGAAGTGGAAGGCCGTGTGAACAGCAAGAAACAAACTGACGTGGTGGGTTTGATTGGTGCTGGTCTTTATTCCACAGAGGAGCACCGCTGCTTGCTCACGTGTTCCGCAAGTTGCTTTTCCAAGTCGTTGACCACGGTTCGACCAGTTGCGTCGCAGTTTAGAGGGGTAAAGATAAGTCAGGTGCTGTTGTATGTCAAAACCTAACTAGCGCCGACCTCCACGGAGTTGAACTGTGATGCCAACCTCTTAGATCGCGGTCCTGGGGTGTCCAGGACACCTCAACTCCGGACACCTCACACGCTGGGACCACGTGCTTGCAACACGAACGCCCACACAACACGTCGCAGGGCTGCCACTGTACAGTTCTGCGACATTTTTGCACGACCCAACATCCGTAGTGTAGTCGGGGCAACGTGCAGCCGAGGGGGTTGTTTTTAGGGAATCGTGTGAACCACGGGGCTGTACAAATTGTTTGGCGCACTAGAAAAAAAAAACAAACAAACAAACAAACAAAATCCCCTCGAGTCGAGTGTGCTGGGAGGGAATCATGGAAGCGCGCAGGGGTTTCATAAATGTTTGTATTTTTTTCCAAAATTCCCCAACGGCCGAACGTTGTCGAGTCGGATGTTGTATTTTCTGGGGTGCGCCCTGGTATTTCTTTCACACCCAGGTGGTCGCAGATGCTCCGTCGCGCACTCGTTTCATTGGTACACGAGTACAGTTGCACAGTGGGCCAGGTCTGCCCCAGCGACGAATGGCATGCGTTAGCCTACATCAACACGGTGACTTTCCAGGTCACCATGTCCCAGGACACCCCAGGACCGCGACCTAAATCGTGTTGTGAAGTTCTGGATCCAGCCAACCCGAGCGGACCCTAAACGGGATATTGCTTGGAACCAGCCTAATTTCACAAGTTCGCAAGGGAAGGATGGCAGACGTGTTCGCGAGACTGAACTGTAACGCTCAACAGGGTTTCCAGCTAGCCAAAACATCTTAAACGTCAGTTATTAAATAAAAAAAGGACACAATTATTGTCCAAAACGTGTGGATGCACCTCCGCCTCCCGCTCTTTGCCGGACACCCGAGTCCTTGTTAAGCATTTGGTTCAAATCAATTGCAATAGGAAGCATTGACGTATCAGCCACCACTTCCTCACCTGAGCGCATCACACCAGAGCACACAAAACGCAAAACAACAAAACATTAGCACACATTAAGCAATCAAACTCAGTAGCAGCTCCACACAATGATTGCAAGCCTCGCTACACGAACTCCCATTTCTCACCTTCCATCCCTTCCCCTGTAACCGCTTTCTCAAACGAGTGCACACGTAGCAGCGCTGCTGGCAGCACCACAGTATCCCCCTTGCTCATCTCCAGGTGATGCGGGTGGTGCCAGAACAGACGAAGCACACTGTCCGGCTTCACCACCGCAGTCATCTGTGCAAATGGCTGCAGGGACGCCCCCATTGTCTGCTCTGTGCGATGCACAAATCGCTCCAAGAGCAGGGCGGGAAGGGGGCGCTGCTGATTCCAGACGGAGGGGAGGGATTCGGAGAGGGGAGAGAGAGAGGGGTGAGACTTCGGCAGGTGGAAAAGGGGTCCAGGAGAGGGAAAAACAAACCAGGACGTTGGGGGAAGAGAAGGGACTGGTTTTTGAGACTTAGATGGAGGCGGCAGCACTGGGGGGACACACAAACGGAAGTAGCTGCAACAACACCAGAACATGGCACGTGCTTTCTTTGCTCCTCTTCTCCCCACCTGCTGATCCATCTCCACATTCACCTGTGACATTTGAGGGTCCCAGTTGTCACAATCCATCCATCCCCACACAGCCCTCCCCCCACATCAATCCACCCACATCCCGCCCCCCAGATCGTTCCTTCCACACACCTGGCCAGGTGAAGTAGTTGCGAAGCCTGTGGCCTGCACGGCTCATACTCTCTAATCAATCCTCCCACATTCATTCCTTCACACACCCCTATCCTTCCCACACACCTCGCCAGGCCCTTCGATCTGCAGCATCTGCAGCAGTAGCTGCAACGCCTGTGGCCTGTGCACCTCGTACTCCCTAACCAATCGTCCCACATTCATTCCTTCACACACCCCTCTCCCTCCCACACACCTCGCCAGGCCCCACGAAGTGCAGCATCTGCAGCAGCAGCTGTGACGCCTGTGGCCTGTGCGCCTCGTACTCCCGCAGGAACCGGTCCAGGAAGCCCGGCTTCACGTCCCCGGGCGCAAACAGGAAGGACGACACCGGCACACGCACAAACCAGGCCGCCTGCGGGCCGTGCGTGGTCAGCAAGTGCAGGGTCGCCTGGGAAGATTGTAACGGGGATTGGGGAGTGGGGAGTGGGGAGCGAGGGATGGGGGGAGGTGTGAGGGCGCCTAAGAAGCTGAGATGGTGGTGCAGGTCCAAGGAGACTACTTTGAGACTCCTTACACTAGGCCGTATGGGGGCTGTGGGTGGTCAGGAAGTGCAGGGTCGCCTTGACAGTGGGAGGCAGGGGAGGAAGGAAGTTGTGGTTATACAGGGAGAGCGTTGAACAGAGAAAGAATCAGCAGCAGTGACAGCATGGAAGGGAGGCGAGTACGGAAGAAGTAGGAAGGAAGGATGGAGTGAGGGCACCTTGAGAAAGAAATCAGATTATGTGAGTTCAGGTTATGAATAGGATGGTCAGAAGTGAGAAGGGAGCGCCATTTGATCTGACCAGTAGGAATTAAATGGAGAGCACGTTTCATGAGCACACTGTGTAAGCGTTTAGTCTTGTGCGAGTTTGAGCGCCGTGATACAAAATGCTGTTGCCGTTGCGCATGTGACTCTCACCTGGTCGTCCTTGGAGGCAAAGCCTTGCGGGTCGAAGGAGGGGAAGAGGTGGCGGAAGGAGTGCAGCGTGAGGAAGCCGTCCCGGATGTATGGCCGCCATGCTGCCTCCTGCATCGCCGTGATTGGGGTGCACACGGGTGTGGGGGGGACGGTGGTGGTGGTTGAGGAGGAGACGGAGGAGGAGGGAGGAGGAGGAGGAGGAGGAGGAGGAGGAGGAGGAGGAGGAGGAGGAGGAGGAGGAGGAGGAGGAGGAGGAGGAGGAGGAGGAGGAGGAGGAGGAGGAGGAGGAGGAGGAGGTGTGGAGGGGGGAGTGGATGGGGACGGGAGAAAGAATTAGAAACGGGGAGGGGTGAGTGGAGGAAATGGGGATACGATGAGGGAACCGACGGGAGGAGTGAAGGGGGGAGTGGTGTGAGCTCGCACAACAAACCGTTGCAAACCGACATTCCACCTTGCCTCTTGCTTTCATCAGCACGCTCGCAAAAACAGCCGCTTTACACCTGCCTTGAAGCTGCAAATCGCCCCACTACCCTTGCCCAGGCGTGCACGTATGGAAACAATGGAAACAACACTATTGCACACATGCTACATGTGGTGGCGTACCTAACACATCCAACAGTAGCACCTAACATGACATCCCCGAACCACACGTGGAAATAGGGATAAACGTGATGAACGCTTACAATAGAGTCCCGGGAGTCGGTAGCCGTGTCGTACCACACGACATGTGAGACGCCCGCATACTTGTAGTACTCAACCCACTGGCATGCACCATGGGATGTGCGCGCAGCGGGTGAGGCGAGCGAATGCGGGGATGAGGGAGGGGATAAGGGGGGAAGGATGGACAGGAGGGTTGAGAGCGGGTGAAGCTTGCATGTTTGTGGTACACAACCCACTGGTACACAGCATGGGATGTGGAAGCAGCAGGCGGAGGGAGGGAGTGAGGGGAGGAGGGAGGGAGTGAGGGGAGGGGGGAGGGGGTGGGGGAGGGGAGGGGAGGGGGAGGGATTGAGGGAGGGGGGAGAGAGTGATGGGAGGAGGAAGAGAGTGAGAGGAGGGAGAGAGTGAGGGGAGGAGGGAGAGAGTGAGGGGAGGAGGGAGAGAGTGAGGGGAAGAGGGAGAGAGTGAGAGGGAGGAGGGAGGAGAGTGAGGGGGGAGGGAGAGAGTGAGGGGAGGAGGGAGGAAGTGAGAGGCGGGGGAGAGAATGGAGGATGGAGGGAGTGAGGGACGGAGGGAGAGAGTGAGGAGGAGGGAGAGAGTGAGGAGGGAGGAGGGAGAGAGTGAGGGGAAGAGGGAGATAGTGAGGGGAGGAGGGAGAGAGTGAGGGAGAGAGAGGGGAGGGGAGGGAGTGAGGGGAGGAGGGAGAGAGTGAGGGGAGGAGGGAGAGAGTGAGGGGAGGAGGGAGGAAGTGAGGGGAGGGGGGAGGGGGGGTGAGGGGAGGAGGGAGGGATTGAGGGGGAGGGGGGAGAGAGTGATGGGAGGAGGAAGAGAGTGAGAGGAGGGAGCGAGTGAGGGGAGGAGGGAGAGAGTGAGAGGGAGGGGGAGAGAGTGAGTGGGGGAAGAGGGAGAGGAGAGAGTGAGGGAGGAGGGAGAGAGTGAGGAGGAGGGAGGAGAGGAGAGTGAGGGGAGGAGGGAGGAAGTGAGAGGCGGAGGGAGAGAATGGAGGATGGAGGGAGTGAGGGACGGAGGGAGAGAAGTGAGGGAGGAGGGAGAGAGTGAGGGGCGGAGGGAACGAGTCATGGCACAGGAACGCACATACATATTGTAATCAGCCCACTACCAGCCCCATGGGATGTGGAAGCAGTTGCAGAAGGGAAAGAGGGTGGAAAAGGGGGAGGGAGGGAGGGATGGAGGGAGGGAGGGAACGAGGGCGCCCAATGGGGGACGAAGAAAAACTACTCAAGCCACTGCTAAGCTTGAGGGGTCGTGAGAACAGTGGGGGAGGGGGAGGGAGGGAAGGAGGGGAAGACGGAGGGAATGATGGCAGGGAACGACCTGTCCCAGCGCACAATTGTATGTAGGTAGGAGCAAATGGTTGCAGGATGGAGAAAAGAATGAGGAGAAGTAAGGAGGTGTGGGAGGGAACGAGGGAAGGGAAGAAGAAGGCGGAGGAAGGGGGATATAGGGAATTAAAGAAAAGACTATTAGAGACACGTCTATAAGAGACAGTTCTACTGAAAACACTTTCACTCAAGACACGTACACGAAAGACTCGCCTACGACGACACAAAAGGGCTTCGAAAGACAAGTTCCGAGGCGTTTCAGAAACCTCTGAGCTCTGCCTCATCTCAGACCACGTTCCAGACGCCACCCTACCCGCACGCACAATCCGGCCCACACACACCTGGCGGCATCCGTAGAGCGAGATGTTGGAGGGCCTGTTGAGTTAGAGTGGACTCTAAAGCCAACTCAGAACACGGCCCACGCCACCCCACCAGCACGCACAAACCATCCAGGCCACGCCCACCTGGCGACACTCGTAGAGCGAGATGTTGGAGGACCTGTTGAGGTGGTGCACCACCATTGCCACGAGATAGTGCGGCTTGTCCTTGCCCCCGCCACCTGCACCTCCGATCCCAGCTCCGACCTGATGGGCGGCCACATGCGCGCAGGGGGAGGGACGAGGAGAAGCGGGGAAAGTGGGAGAGGGAGGAGGGGGGGGAGAGGGAGGAAGGGTGGAGAGAGAGGAAGTGGGAGAGTGAGGGAGAGACCGCTGTGAATGGGTAATTGTAGCAGATTTCTGTGGACAGATGCGGGTGATAGTCCCCTGCCATCTGCACCTCTGATCCGAGCACTGAGTTGAAGGGGGCTATGGGGGGAGAGGAAGGAGGGAGATGAGAGGGGAGGCACAGGCGGGAGGAAGAGGAGAGATGAGAAGGGATGAGAGGAGGAGGAGAGGGGGATGGGGAAGAGGGACGGGATCACTCATGAGGGAGCGGGCCTAGACTTACCTAGATATGAAATTAAAGTCTCAAATTCCCCCCAACTGCTTCATCCTTCCTACCTACAGCCGTGTGCCACCAAGCTGATAGTGAACCGCTTCACAGACAGTCTCAATTGCTACGCTTCTCAAAATCACTGAACCGACGAAGATGAGTGCTGTGCGAACTGGCGAGAGTATCTTTCTCTGCGACCCGCGTCCATCGTTTCAACACCACCCAATTTTGCAAGCCAAAAGAGTCTCCTGCCCCAATTTTGCAAGGCTATGCACCCCGGGTTCTAAACCTACACCATGACTAAGGCCTTTACCTAGACTCAGATTCAGACTGGGACTTGGACTCAAACCAAGACTTCGGCCTAGACTCCATTTGACGTACAGCTGCTTGTTGAGGGGGTTGTGCGTGCGTGGGTCCCACACGTCAATCTCCAGCCCGTATAGTGGATCCCACGCGTTCACTATCTCGCCCTCTCTGCTCGCCTCGTACACGTCCGTGCCCCTCCCCCTCCTCGCCCCCGCACCCCCCCTATCCAGGGCCACGCGGACCAACCCTGCGCCTCTATTCCCCGCCGCCTCCCCCTGCCCCGTCCCCCCACGAGCAAGGTTTCTCTCCCCTCCCCCGCGCCCGTCTTCCCCTCTCCCCTCTCCGCTTCCGCCATCCCCAGGCGCGCCCAGCTTCCTATTCGACCCCCCCCGCCCACTTCTCCCAGTTGCCGCGGCTCCCTCGCCCCCCGCCCCTCCCCCAGGCGCAATGCTGCGCGCAGTAGAAGCGCCAGCAGCAGCAGCGCGGCCAGCGCAACTCCCCCTCTGAGAAGCAACCGGCGGTAGTGCACGCGGATATGCAGCAGCAGGCGGGACGTCTTCCGCGGTCTCCCCCCCCCGTTGCCATGCCCCCCGCCCCCGCTTCCCGCGGACCCCCCTGCTCCCCCTCCGCCATCGCTGCTACGTAGGCCCTCGCCCGCGCCAGCTCCGCGCACCCCCACGCCCAGCCCGCCCCCTCCGCCTGCCGCGCGGCCCTGCCGGGGGCCCTGGAGCCGGGGGGACCACCCATGGCTGTCGCTGCGGAGGATCGAGAAGGGGAGGGATGAAGGGAGGAAGGGATGAGGGGAACGAGGGATGAAGGGATGGATGAGGGGAAGGATGAGGGGAGAGAAGTAGAGAGGCATGAGGTGATTCAGGAATGAGAGAGGAGAGGAATACGGGAAGGAGCGGGTGAGGGCTGAGAGGGGAGGAGCAGAATGCAAGGAGAACTTTCCAAATGTGAGAGCTGGCTCACGAAGCGACGCGGAGCGAGGGAGACGAAGAGAGAAGAGTAAGATTCGTGACAGGTTACTAGAGACGGGGAAGAGCATGTGGAGGGCATGAACGTGCGGGAAATGGGACGTCGTAGGAGAATCCTGGTCATCCTTCAAAATGGTCCAAGATCCGTTTCAGCTGTCTCGAGACCTGACGAGCTTTGACGGAACAGCTAAGAATTTCAAGGACCCAGAGGCGTCTAGGAAAGAACATGGTGACCGGAGCCATTTCAAGGAGGTGATTGTCGAGTCGACAAGTACGTTGCCGCGCTGTGGGATCAACAACAGCGACGGATCGAAACGCGAGGAAACAAACTGGCTTTGACCGACCGGTGTACGCCGATTCCTTGCAATTCCTCTCAAAGAGCAGAGCCGAGGGCCTTACGGGTTCTTCTGTGTACTGGTTAGCCGAGCAGCAGTGCCGCGTTGATCATTCCGCGCGGCTCACCGCGGGAAAAGCGGGTTCCTTCAATGCAGGCTAATTTCTCCTGCCGTAGATACAAGTCGGTGGTCTGATGTGGGAGGTTCGCTTAGCACCAGGCCGCGGCTCGCTAAGGCGACCTAAATCCGAGACTCGATGGAAAAAAATCAGCTCTGAAACACCCTCGACTTAGGCACTCCGCGTCGCTGGCGTGTGATCCGTAAGCCGCGGTCCCTGAAATCACCTCGCGGTTCCGAGAATAGCTCTCCTAAGAAATGAGACTCCCTCCAAGTTGCCTCTCCTTGTGATCATGCCTTGGAAGCTGGCGATGTGTTGGAAAGGGTGGGAGAGGGGACCGGCTGGCGGAGGATGACGAACGATACGGGGAGGGGACTTCGAGAACATACTGCGCCATGATTGGAGGGACATGGAAAATTTTGCGGGAGCGATCGACACATCCGCGTGATGATGGCGGGTGTCAGACAACACTTGGTACGCGTTTGGAGGATAAAGGACGCCCTGCATGTTCAAGACAACAGTAGCCTGTATGTTAGCACATTACATCCATATTGTACAATCTGTCTACGCTTCCATTTGCTGGAACGATGGGGTGTTGTAGCTTAGACGACTGAAAGGTGGCCCAAAAAAAGATGTCATACCATGTAATCGAGGCATCGACCCTCGCGATCAGTAGTTTTTTGTATGTTTGTCTGAAAATCATACGGATTTTTGAGAGAAACGATTTTTCCATAACTTGATTCTCATGACCGTGGGGACTACACTTGCGGCTCTTGGGTTTGCTCTTTCGACTGCATACCCTTGTTTTTGCGCACCGACCCTTCTCTACCACCGTTCTACACCTTCGTGTATATCAACGGCTTGGTTAATACTAATGCTGACACTGAGGCGCAGGCCCTTGAGAAAGCGGAGCTGCAGAAGAGACGCACTTGCACTGATCTGGGCGAGCTGCGCAGCTACCTTGGCTTGCAAATCACACGGGACATATCACGGCGCACCATCACTCTGACTCTGTCACGCATGGTGCAACAGACAGGAATGATTGAACTAGCAGTGAAATCAGTACAAGTACCTAACCCTAGAATTGTGTACCCCCTATAGGCTAACCCACTGTAGCCTAAACAAACACAACATATATAATGTTTGACACACCCCCATAGGCAAAGTGGGGGAGAGCAAGGGGTCACAAGACCAGTCAAAGCAAAGCAAAACAAGCTCAGGGTGGATCTCAAGGATACCACACAAATTCCGAGCACAAGCAAGTGGTCACAAGACCAGTTCACATGCAGGTTGATAATATAACAAGAGATACAGTGATCACAACCTAGCAAGTGTAAACATGCAGGCATATATATAAAGATCACAGTACAAGCAGAGTCAAGAAGTAAGTAAGTGAGGTCCAGCAGGCACAAGGCCTAGAAGAGTACAGAAACGCTGATGGTCACAAGGCTGAAGCGCCTTGGTGAACACATCAGCAAGGTTGGCCTCAGTGGCCACGTAACGCAGACGAAGCTGACCACGCTGCTGCAGCTCTCGAGCAAGGAAGTACCGCAGGGCGATGTGCTTCGTTCTGTGCTCCAGTCTGTGCTCCTCACACAAGGCAATGGCAGCCTGGTTGTCGACGTACAGCACTGGAGGAGAACGAGGCCGCTCTCCCAAGTCGGTCAGCAGGTAGGTCAGCCAGCGTAGCTCCTGGGCAGCCATGGCTGTGGCGTAGATCTCAGCCTCACAACTGGAGCTGAGAACAGAAGAAGAGCGTGTAGAACGCCAAGAAACTGAACCGGAGCCAAGGCTGAAGGTGTAACCCTGAGACGACCGCTGAGTAGCCTGGTCGTCCGCCCAAGAAGCGTCTGAGTGTCCAGTAAGTACAACTCGGTCTCGCCCTCCAAGCACTAGCCCCATGCCCGACGTACTGCACAAGTAGCGCAACACCCTCTTAGCGGCATCCATGTGCTCCTTCCTGTGACGGCCAGGAGCGACATAGCGTGCAAGGATGCTAAGAGGGTATGCAAGGTCAGGTCGAGTGCAGGTCATCAGGTACATGAGGCAGCCCACAAGCTCTGGATACGGGCCACTCGGCTCTACGGACTCATCCGAAGGCAGAGCTGAGAGCGAGTGACCGGTAGGCAGAGGAGTGGACTGAGGCGAGGAGTACGTGAAGCGGAAGCGCTGAAGGATCTGCTGCACCATGTGTGACTGAGTCAAGGTGATGGTGCGCCGTGCTCTGTCCCGGGTGATCCGCAAGCCAAGATAGCTTGTCAGTTCACCTAGGTCTGTGCACGTGTGTCTCCTCTGCAGCTCCGACTTCACGTGGGCGAGTGCCGCGGTGTCAGCAGTGGCAAAGACCAAGTCGTCGACGTACACGAGGATGTAGAACGGCGGGAGTGAGGTGTCTGTGCGTAGAAACAGTGACGGGTCAGCAGTAGAGGGAGCGAACCCAAGAGCCGCAAGTGTCGTCCTCAGTGTGTCGTGCCACTCACGCGGTGCCTGGCGGAGACCGTAGACCGGCCGCTGAAGCCTCCACTGGGTACCAGGAGGAACCGACCCAGTGAAGCCAGGAGGGCGGCGCAGCCAGATCTCCTCGTGCAGGCTGCCCTGCAAGAAAGCAGTGCTGAAGTCAAGTGAGTGAAGCTCGTAGTCGCGCTGAGCGGCTATGTGCAGCAGCACCCGAAGAGTGGTCATCTTCGGGGTGGGGGAGAAGGTCTGAAAGAAGTCAACTCCCTCTCGCTGATTGAAGCCTCGAGCCACGTAGCGCGCCTTGAAGACAGGAGGAGAACCCGGTGGCCGCTTCACCCTGAAAATCCACATGCCACTGACGATGTTCGCCCCAGGTGGGGGAACCTCGTCGACGTAGGTGCCTGTGGACTTCCAGGAAGCCATCTCTGTGTCCATGGCTGTCTGCCACTGAGAGGAGTAGGGACCCGCCATCGCCTCAGCGTAAGTGCGCGGGGTCGGGATGTCTGGTGCATCCGGGTCTCCCTCAGGGGCAACTAGCATGGACACGAGGTGGGGTAAAGCAGCAGCAAAGCACTGGAACTCCTCCTGTCTGTCCTCAAGGATGTCCGTGCCAAGAGCACACTCACCCCGACGGACGGAGGACAGACAGACTCAGACTCAGACTCAGCAACAAGGCTAGTGGCGTAGTCTAGACGACACCGGGCAGCAAAGTCTATTAACTCAGCGACCAGAGCAGACGCAGCAGAGGACTCAAAGGTAGGGTCAGTAACAACAGTAGCAAGGAGACGGGTGACAGTGGGACTGGCAGCACGACGGGAGTCAGACTCCGGATCAGGAAGAGTAGGCAGAGAGGACGCAGGAGGAGACGGCAGCGGGACATGCTGAGGAGCAGTGGAGGGACGCAGAGTCATGTAGTGAGTGCCAAGGACAGGAGGAGGACGCTCACGTGGGACACGACGACCAGTGCGAGCAGTACGAACAGGCGACGCAGGACGAGACTCAGGCTCACGACGCTCTGTAAGACCTCCTGTGGGACCAGTGTAAGGAGAGGGACCAGGGAGAGGCGAGGCAGGCGGGAACTGTGACTGCGACTGGACAGGCGGAGGACACTCTACGGAGGGAGGAGGACAAGGAGGAGGAGCCTGACCAAGAACCTGCTGAAGGAGCGGCACGAAGTACGGTCGCGGCCGCGTAGCATCTCCAGAACCAGCAGAGACACCAGCGGCAGGGTCCTCAGCACCAGCAGCAGCTCCAACGTCCGGGTCCTCAGCACCAGCAGCAGCTCCACCGCTCGGGTCCTCAGCACCAGCAGCAGCTCCACCGTCCGGGTCCTCAGCTCCAGCAGCAGCTCCAACGCCCGGGTCCTCAGCACCAGCAGCAGCGCCACCGCTCGGGTCCGCAGCACCAGCAGCAGCTCCAATGCCCGGGTCCTCAGCACCAGTAGCAGCGCCACCCCCAGGGTCCGCAGCACCAGGAGCACCACTCCGAAGACTGCAGCGCCGCGTGTACCACTCTCGGATCTGCTGAATGGGGGGGAGCTCCTGGGCAGGAGGGGAAGTACTGGTACGAGCTCCAGTAGCACCTCTCCGGAGGCGGCAGTACTGTAGGTACCTCTCCTGCAGCTGCCGGGAGGAGAGGGCTCCTCCAGGTGTAGCACGCTCAGGCTCAGCACCCCCAGACTCAGCACCCCCAGACTCAGCACCCCCAGGCTCAGCACCCCCAGGCTCAGCACCCCCAGGCTCAGCACCTCCAGACTCAGCACCCCCAGGCTCAGCACCCCCAGGCTCCGCACCTCCAGGCTCCGCACCCCCAGGCTCCGCACCCCCAGGCTCCGCACCCCCAGGCTCAGCACCCTCAGACTCCTCACGGTCAGGCTCAGCACCCCCAGCAGGACGAGAGTCAACAGCTACCTCGACAGGCTCAACCGGGTCTACCTGGGACACACCTGAGGGAGCGGCACCCTGAGGGGGGAGGGGGTCTGGTACCTCAGCACCTGGAGCGAGGAAGAGAGGCGGGGGGGGGAGCGGGGCAGTGCGGTAGGGGAAGAGGCGGTAGTAGGGGACGGACTTGTCAAAAGTGACGTCCTGAGAGGCCAGGACACGACGCGAGGTGGCGTGGTAGAACTGCCAACCAGGCGCGTCCGGGACAAAGCCAAGGAAGACACAGGGGACAGCTCGACGGGAGAGCTTGTCCGCGGACGTATCGCGAACAAAAGCTCGAGATCCCCAGACCCGAAAACGCGACGCATCGCCAGCCTCTCCCGTCCAACGCAGTGTCGGAGAAGTCTCCGGTAAGGAGACACGGGGCCAGAGGTTGAG